TAAAATTTTGTTGGAATGTTAAAAATAGAAAATTTGACAATATAGATAATGGACATTACTTGGACATTGTGGTTTCAGCTAAGTTGACTCCACCTGGCTTAGGTGGAAACCACTTCATCTTATTCATTTGCTGCCTTTTCTCTCAAGCTCGATGAGCTCACGGAGGCTGAGGATGCTCTCTCTGAAGCCAATGCATTGAACAACTATAATGCTGAAGTATGGGCATATTTGGCTCTGGTCTGCCTGAAAGTGAGTAGAATTCTTGTCTTTATACTGCCCTGTCAGGGGCCAGAGGTTAGGGATCAAGTAAGCAAGAGACCGATGGCCATTAATGCATGATAGCTGAAGTTTAATGGGCTCTGAGTTTGGTCATTATACTTATGACAAAAGGCCAAATCTGGGCATCTTCTACTTGGAATGTGGATAAAAGTTATATTCAAATGTATTTTCTAGAAAGGAAGCTCTAAAAATGGGAGCAGTGTAAACCAGGTGTGGTGGGCCATACCTGTAATCCAAGCACTGGAGGCTGAAACAGATGATCACAAGTTTGAGCCAGACATGGGCTACTAGGCTACATGGTTCAATCCAGTATGGACTACATAGCAAGACCCTGTCTCAAAAAATAAATAATGAAAAAAAGAAAGAAAAAATTTAAAGGACAGGAGCAGTGTTTTATCAAAACATAAACTAGATTAAGGATCAGTGAAGCAGATATTCTGTGAGTCTTTCTTCCTGTTGAATTGCTGGTTGAGGGTATTTGTCCTTGATTCAGATGGGGAATTGGGTAGGAAGTATTAGGGGAATTCCTGATAGGTGATTTACCTACGAAAAAAATAAACCTCCTGGGCCAGGGATTTAGCTCAGTTGTTCTGCTGCCTGCTTTGTATGGACAAGGTCCCGAGTTTGATCCCTGGTACCAAAAACAAACAAACAAACAAAAACCCCTTCTTTGGTTAGACTTAAATTATTTGCATTTCAGTCTAAGATCAAACTGGGAGTCATGAGAGCTACCCTTAGTCATCCATTGGTCAATATGACACCAAATTGACAGGGAGTGTTATAACTAGATGGGAAATGAACAAAATAAAAGTTATTGGAGCTGAGCATGGTGGTGCACACCTGTAAATCCCAGTACTGGAGATGCTGAGGCAGGGGGACTGCCACAAATTCAAGGCCAGCCCGGGCTACACAGTGAGACCCTGTCTCAAAAAACCCAAACCAAACTAAACCAACCCCTCCCCCCCAAATGTTTCTGGATTTTCTTTCGGGAATAACTATTCCAAATATCAGTGTAAGAAATATCTGGGTTCTTATCCCAACTAGCTGTGGGATACAAGGCAAGTCACTTAACCTTACTGGGCCTCAGCTTCTTCACCTGTAAGCTAAAAGGATAAAAAAGAAAGATCTTAGGGCCAGGGATTTAAGCACATACTTTTTTTTTGGTACCGGGGATCGAACTCAGGTCCTCACACTTGTGCAGCAGGCAGCGAAACCACTGAGCTAAATCCCTGGCCCAAGGTCCCGAGTTCGACCCCCAGTACCCCTGCCTCCGGCAAAAAAAAGAAAGATCTTCGATCCCTGGTACCAAAAAAAAAAGAAAGAAAGATCTTAATATACTTCTTCCAGAAAGTGATAGATCAAATAGCAAAAAAGATAAGGAGATATGTATATCTATCTCACAATTAACTGGACTGAGATCAAGCACCGGCCCTGTATGTGAATTTTAATCACAGCATTTACTAAAAGCTAAAAACTAGAAACATTTTAAATTTCCATCAATAAATGGCTAAATTAGGTTTATTTAGACAATAGAGTACTATCAACAATTAAAATGGAGGGCCGGGGATTTAGCTCAGTGGTTTCACCGCCTGCTGCACAAGCGCAAGGACCAGAGTTCGATCCCCGGTACCAAAGAAAAGGCTATATATGATTTCAGGGCTGGGGATTTAGCTCAGTGGTTCTGCCACCTGCCTCACAAGTGCAAGGTCCCGAGTTCGATCTCCGGTACCAAAAAAAAAAAAAAAAAAGATTATATATGATTCCATTTATTTGAAAATAGGAAAACTAGAGACTCAAAACAGATTAATAGTTACTTAGGACCACGGGTGGGAATGGGACTGACTACAAACAGGCATGAAAGAATTTTCTGGGGTAATACAAGTCTTCTAAAACTGGATGGTTGAACAAATGAATCATGCCTGTAATCCCAGCACTTGAGAGGCTGAGGCAGGAGGATCACTGAGAGTTCAAGACCAGCCTGGGCTCCACAGTGAAACCTTGTCTCAAAAACAAAAAAAGAAAACCAATGAACAACTGAATTTTGAAATTAGTGGATTTTATGGTATGTCAATTATACTGTAATGACCTCTTTTAAAAGACAATACAGCCCTCTTAAAATGAGAAACAAGTAATTATTCAAAAACTACTGGTGAGGGAACTGGTTCCTGTCCATATGAAAAAAAAAAAATCAGTTCCTTACTTCATACCACAGACACACACAGTTCCTGTGGCTTAAAGACCCAAATCTTTTTTTTTTTTTGCAGTACCAGAGATCGAACTCAGGACCAGGTGCGGCGCCACTGAGCTAAATCCCCGGCTTTATGACCCAAATCTTAAAAGCAAAATCTTAATATTTAGAAGAAATGTAGAGAATACCTCTATGCCTTTGGGGTATGGAAGTTTTCTTAGGATCGTAAAAGCACAAACCAAAAATAAAATACCAAAAAACTAACTACTTTAACATTGGCAACTCATGTATAACAAGAACACTAAAATAGGATTATGTTCAGGTTATATGAATAGTTCCTACAAAAAGGAAAAGAACCATAAACAACCTGACTAAATATAGGCAGAGAATAGGAACATGTAGTTTGCTGAAGTAGATTATAAAAATCAATATATGGGACCAGGGATTTAGCTCAGTGGTTCTGGCGCCTGCCTTGCAAGTGCAAGGTCCCAAGTTCGATCCCTGGTACCCAAAAAAAAAAAAAATTAAAATGATATTACCAATATTGATAAAGATTCTCTTAGTTGCTAGTGGACATAAATTTATATCACTTTAAAACCCAATGTGGCATTATTTGGTCACATTTATATCTACAATTTGGCAAATGCCATATCCAGACATATTCCTAAGCATTTAAAACATCACAATGAAAACAGTGTAAATCACATATAAGCACTGCAATGTGCAATTATTAAAAAAGTGGCCTCAATCCTAAAATGAATAAATGATTTATGGTGCTTTTGGAAAAAAAAATGAGAAGCCAAAATACCTTTAAATTTTCCAAAATCAAGGAGTTTTGAAAATACCAGCTTTTTCCTATCACCTTCGATTTTCTTGTTTCCCTTCTGAATTCAGAGGCTCTTAACTGGGCAGTTGCTGTCCCATGTGTCAGGTAGAAATATCTGAGATGATGTACTTTCCCACCATGATGCTTCTGACATGTATTTACCAACAGCTGCTGTACTTTTTTCAGGCTGGACGGCAACTGGAAGCTGAGCAGGCTTACAAGTATACAGTAAAGGTATGATGCGGATGCATCCCCAGCACTCACACACAAATCCAGTTCCATCCTGAGGAACAATGTTCATTGGCTTTGTTCCCACAAATGGGAGGTGTTCAATGGTATATAGTGTACCAGATATGACATGTGTTCTTTCCTTGTTCATGTAGCTGAAACTGAAGGATGAGGCTTTGCTTGCAGAGATCCGGATGGTACAGGAAATGGTTGGATTTGGAAACCCATCTTTCTGACAATCTTAAACTGAAGAATTTTCTGTGTGGAACCCTGAGCTCCTTTCCACATGAAAATTTGACCACATGAAGCCTGGAGCTGGAGAGCCAAGAATGTTCACTATCAGCAGAAACTCATATATTTCCATTGGCTCTAACTGGAAGTTTTACTAGTTGACAGTAAATGGGATCACAATAAAAATGTAAATAAGAAATGAAAAACTCATCAGTGTGGTTCTAGAGTAAACAAAGGTACACCGAGCTATATATCACATATATATTTATATGTAATTGTAATTATATACCTAATATACCATTAGTTATATAAAAATAAAATTAAGGTCTAGTGGGGTCAATAGGTTTCTGATAAAAGCTCATTGGGTTACTGCTGGAAGAAGTCTGCTGCTAAGGCCCTTGGCCAGGTTCACTTACTGGAACTTGGAAATTAAGGCATCATCTTTAAAGGTGAGCCTAGGGACTGCTAAGCTGGTTCACTATGTTAGAGCAAAGGGCCTATTAGTTGTGGCAGGCCCTTTGGAACCAGGAGTGAAAAGAGAAGCTGAACAGAGATCTTTGCTGAAGTGGGAGGTACTAACTCCCTGTAATCAACCAGGGGTTATCTTCATGGATCTAAACCACAAGGGCTCCATGAAGATACCTTTACTACCGTATGAGATGCAAAACTCCTTACTAGTGAGGTCGAATTCTTGGGGTTGGGATGACAAGAAATTATACTCTGACACAGCACTTTTGATCACAGTGCAGCAAAAGCAGATATTAGGGTCTCCCCTTTATTTTTTCATGGTGTGCCTGCCTCTTCCATGGTTGGAGAATAAAGAGGAGGGACAAATTAGTTAACTGAGAAGGATAAACTGTAGTCATTTATAATCCTATTCTCGGCCCTAACTACCTCCCTTATGAAGTCTTCCCGAGGAAGTATCAGCTTTCTCTCTGCCCCGCTGCACAGTCTATTCACCGTCCTTGGCTTCTCTGTACACCCTCGGCGGCTCCTCGCCAGACTGAATTTCCCGACGGTAGAGGACAGCGCCCGGGTCCGGCCCTAACGAAGTTCAGAAAATGTTTGCAGAATGGACGGATTTGCAGAGCGCTTAGGGCTCTTCCTAGCTACCCAGGACTCCCCCAAAACTTCATTCCAATAGGGGCTCATGGGGAGGAATCGCACTGCCACGCCTACAGACGTCAAATTTAACGCCCCTTAATCTATGACGCAGAAGGGAGGGTTGTGTTGCATGATGGGAAGTATAGGGCCAAAAAGCAGAAGCAGTGAAGCGAGCAGAGCATCTACTTCCGGAACTGAGCCTTTCTGGCCTCCGTAGCCGGTGAGAGTCTCAGCATCTCTGGGAATTAACCTTTCGTATTGCTTTTCTGTGGATCGGAGGCCGTGGGCCTGGTCTGTGGGAACTGCGGGATATCCGAGGATCTGCACGCCGGCTGCACCATGGTCCAGCTTAGTGAGTTATCTGGGCCCTCTGAGACTTTCCGGGGGGCCTCAGGGGTTGGGGTGTCCGGGGACAGGTGGAGCTGCGCTTTCTTAGTCGCGCTGGAGGCCATCCGAACCACAGCCTCTCGCGCTTACAGCTGAGCCACTTGTCAGTTTTCCCCCGCTTAATCTTCGCTGAAACCTTCATCTCATTTTGCAGGGGAGGCAGCTAAGGCTAAGTAAGGGCACAGAGCGAGTCAATAGTGGGCTTGTGCGGAGTGGATTTGGGGATGAGGAAGAGGTAATCTCTAGCTGGAGTGGTTAAGGAGGAGTTTCACAAAGGAAGATGGTAATCAAGCCAGATTACTAGAATAGATTGGAAGTGAGGACATGTCAGTGGAAGATAGGAATTGTTCCTCGACCTCCTTTTGCCCATTTTGTGTACCCCGTTCTTGTGTCCTAACCAGTTATTTCTCTACAGCTACCACCCTCTGCAAGGCCTACCATGGCGGCCACTTAACCATCCGCCTTGCTCTGGGTGGCTGCGCCAACCGGCCCTTTTACCGCATTGTTGCTGCTCACAACAAGGGTCCCAGGGATGGTCGTTTTGTGGAGCAGGTGGGCTCCTACGATCCATTGCCCAACAGTCATGGAGAAAAACTCGTTGCCCTGAACCTGGAGAGGATCCGGCATTGGATTGGCTGTGGGGCCCACCTCTCTAAGCCTATGGAGAAGCTTCTGGGTAATTTAATTCTGGTTCTGCCTCATTCAGGGGTTTTACTCTGAAGTCAGCTTCAGGATAGTGAGGATGAAGAATGATTTTCATTTCCTCTAGGCTGCTCAGGACTGGAGTTGAAGCTGAAATTATGAACTGATTGTCATTTCCAATCTGGAGATGAACTCTTTTCTGAAACTTTTTTTTTGGTACCGGGATCGAACTCAGGACCTTGTACCTGCGAGGCAGGCGTGATGCCACTGAGCTGAATCCCCGGCCCTATGAGACTTTCTGAGTGATGGGGTTTTCTGCTAAAAATGGCAATAGTTTCTCTCATGACTGTCAGCTTACCTATTTTTCAAGTAGAGAAAATATTGTTAGGATAGGGGGTAGATATAAGTGGGGGGAGGAAGGTGAAGGACAAGACATCCATACTCTGGGTTAGGGCTCATCCCTCAGTTCTGTGAGGCAGAGTTTCCAGGGAAACATTGACTTAAATTATATTATAATAAATGAAAATCCTGTTGCTTTTAGGTCTGTCTGGCTTTTTCCCCCTTCATCCTATGATGATCACAAATGCTGAGAGACTGCGAAGGAAACGGGCACGTGCAGTCCTCTTAGCTTCTCAGAAAACAAACACAGAGGCTACAGAAACAGAAGCGAGCTGACTTCGGTGAACATGGCAGTGGTTACAAGGTCAAGATCTATATGCAGAGCTCTTAATTTTGTTAGGCTTGAAGAACAATAAATGGAGTTTTCTGAGTCACTCATGCTGTTCAGGTCTGGCCTGAATGGGGTCCAGTGAGAGATTTGTTCTTGTCCAGCATAAGAGCTGCATCTAGTTACTAATTAGCTTCTTTTGGCCTTTATCTTGGGAAAAACAGTGGCTGTGGGGAAGATTGGATGATTTGGACAATTTTACAATCTGCTGCCTGCCAGGGGACTTTCCTGCTTTCTTTTTCCTTTCTTTTCTTTCTTTCTTTCTTTTTTTTTTCTTTTGGTAGTATCTTGGGATTGAATCCAGGGTCTTTGTACTGAGCTACATCCCCAGGCTGTTTTTTAATTTTTTTTTTTTTTTTGGACCTTGTGCTTGAGAGGCAGGAGGCGGAACCACTGAGCTAAATCCTTGGCCCTCTTTTTTAAAATTTTGAGACAAGGTCTCATTAAGTTGCCTAGACTGGGCTAAAATTTGCCATCCACCTGCTTTTAGCCTTGCGGAGTGCTAGTATTACAGGCATGATCCATCATGCTTGGATAGACTTTCTTGTCCCCAGCCAGAGTGTTCTTGGCCCATCTAAATGTTTCCTTATTTATAGTCATCCCACAAGTTCAAGAACAGAGTTGGCCTTGTTTATTGTTTTGTTTTTTCTTTTTTCCAGTACTGGGGATTAAACCCAGGGCCTTTGCACTGAGCTATACCCCCAACCCTTTTTTAAAATTTTGAGGCAGTTAAGTTGAGTCACTTAAGTTGCTGAGTTGCACAGGTTAGTCTGGAATACAGGATCTTCCTGGTGCAGTCTCCCAGAGAACTGGGATTACTGGCATATGCCACCACACCTACACTGTTTTTGTAATTGAAGATGTATATTGCTTTGCTTGACACATAATAGTACTTTTACAAAGACTGATTGTGAAAACTGCTTTCAGGCTATAACAGCCTATCTTTAAGAACAAGAAATTAGAAGGAAGCTAATGTTGTAAAAACACCTACATAAATCTCCACACCCTTTATGTGCAGCATTATTTGTGAGGACTGTAAAGCATCACTGAGGTAGGGAGGATACTCTCCACTTTATAGATAGGAAAGCTGGGGCTGAGAAGGTAGAAACTTGCCCAGCAATATAAGATTCAGACACCAACAGGACTCCTTCCAACATAATATCTATGTTACAGAAAAATAAAAATAGGAGGGTTTCAAAAGTCTTAAAAAGTTAGTGTAGCTAGGTGTGCTTGTGCATGCCTGTAATCCCAGCTACTTGGGAGGCCAAGGCAGGAGGATTGCAAATTTAAGACCATCCTGGGTAACTTAGACCCTGTCTCAGAATAAAAAATTTTAACAGGCCTGGAGATGTAGCTCAGTGCTTCTTGGGTTCAAGCCCATCAGTGGTAGAATCTTATCTATGTAACGAGTTTGATAATATAAATGGCCAGTTGGACCAAAGCCAAACATCATATTGTCTGTCCCACCAGAACTGCACAGTTCAACACCCATATATATGAATTACATTGTTTTACTTCACACTTTAGATAATATAGATTTCAAATACTGACATAAGATAGAGGAAATTTACAGAGAAGGTTCTACAGCCTAGTGATATTCCAACTGATTTTCTGGGTTCTATATTTTGAGAACAATTATTAGTCATCTCAAATTCTGGCGTCACTGAGGCTCCCCAAGGGTTGTTGCTGGTTGGCCTCCACGTGTTTTGAGGAGACTGAAGCCAGGAAAGATGGAGAGAAACTGACTTTTGATGACTTTGATCTTGATTGGAGAAAGGCTTTGAAAACCTTGGCAACTCTGGGAATTTATAAGATACTAGCACATCCTGCAGAATCTGAGGCTTTGCAGAAACCTAATGGCAGAGGGCAGTGTGATTCTGGAAAGTCTTGACCAGTGAGAGGAACTGATATGAAATGGATTATTTTGAGCATCATTGAATTTCTGCCAGCTTCATATTTACTTTGCATTCTTGATTATTTGTCCAAGGTGTATGTACACAAATGTCTAGTGGGAGCTTATCTTCTTAGTTTCCAAAATTTTCTCCAGCCTTTGTCTTATTTTGGATCTCCAGGCCCAAGTCATGGATGATTCTCCAGCCCATCCTGTTGTCAGCTCAAATCCATCTGTTTAGACATGTTGAACTTTATGAATATTACATAGACCTGTTTTAGCAGCTTGGGTTTTTACTAGGGTTATGTTGGGTCAATAGGTAAGGTGAAAGGAGCAGGAAGGAGAGGTTAATTGTGCAATGTAGATAAAGTGTTTTTTAAACTAAGACTGGTCTTTTGTGCTTTTTGTTCAATAGACAGTTCTTTTCCCCCTGCCGTGTTTGAGGGAAAAGTACCCCAGCAGCCTAAGCCCATAGGTTGCAGTTACTGGCCTACAGCTCCACTGCTTTGAGGATCAACTTTGAAAAACCAAATCTCTTAAACTGTTAGGTTGAGCCATGTATAACTGCTGAATGCTGCTATTTGACCAATTTCCACTTTAAAAAAATGTCTGTTTATTAATGTAACCTAATATCGGGACATTCTATAATAATCAATGGATGTTTCTGTGCTGGGACGCTCAAGGTAAGACAAATATTTCCAGAGTAAGGAGACGAGGGTTGCTCGGAAGAGAGTATGATGGGACCCTAAAGGTCGTAGGCTCCTGGAGCTCCGAGAGACCTGGACGCCGGTGCACCTTGAGCATTAAACCGGGTTTTTCCCGGGCAGCGCCACTTGCCACGCCCCTCTGCGGCCGCCGTAGAACGTAGCTGCGGGCGTGGTTCTGCGCCTTCTGTGACGCAGGCGCCGTGGGCTTTTTGAGCGGGAAAAGAAAGTCAGCTACGCTGGAGCTGGTGCAGCTGTGACCCTCTGTGTTGACGGAGGCTGTCCACCCCCGGCCCAGCATGGGGCTGCTGGAACTGTGCGAGCAGGAGTTTGGTACCGCCGACCTTTACCGGGTGCTGGGTGTGCGGCGCGAGGCCTCGGACGGCGAGGTCCGACGCGGCTACCACAAGGTGTCCCTGCAGGTGCACCCCGACCGGGTGGATGAGGGCGACAAGGAAGACGCCACCCGCCGTTTCCAGGTCCGCTCGGATTCCAACCCAGACTTCTCTCCTGGCCACCTGGCGCCGCTCGGGCGCAGTGCGCGGCCCGGAATTTTCTAACCTTTATTTCTCGCGGCGCGGTTTCAGCGGGGGGTATAAGGGTGACTTTTGGATGCTCGTTTCCCTCAGATACTGGGGAGAGTCTATGCCGTTCTAAGTGACAAGGACCAGAGAGCAGTGTACGATGAGCAGGGAACAGTGGTCGAAGACTGTGCTGTGCTCAACCAAGACCGGGACTGGGAGGCGTACTGGAGGTTACTATTTAAAAAGGTAGGGTTATTGGAGCTTTCTTTGTGATGTTTCCCATCATTCAGTCAACGGGCGTTTACTGGATGTCCCCGAGGCCTTAAAGTCTGTGTTGATGAAATTGAGGGATTTAATTATGGCCTTTAAATATACATAACACACTAACTGAAATGAATCATCTCCTGGTGGATATGACTATCGCAGTGAAGGGGCTAGATTTTTCTTCAGTCTGTACTTTATTTTACATATCCAAATCCAAGATCTGAATGTTTATCTAAGTCCCTTTCCATCTTAGAAACTTCATTTAAATTTCTTTTAGCTGGTCCCCGGTTTAGCCGTTGTAAAGGTTAGGTTAGGGAGAACTCTGGAAAAGCTTAGGCATAGGAAATTTAGTTCCTTGTGACAATTACTGCTCAAGCAACTGATATATCGAGGGAGAAGCATTTCAACACTTAAATCTTGTGTTTTACTAGTATACCTTTTATTTAAAATTCTTGAAGTTAAAGCAGTCTCCTTTGTCATCAGATATCTCTAGAAGACATTCAAGCTTTCGAAAAGACATACAAAGGTTCTGAGGAAGAGCTGGGAGATATTAAACAGGCCTATCTGGATTTCAAGGGTGACATGAATCAGATCATGGAGTCTGTGCTGTGTGTGGAGTATACAGAGGAACCCAGGATAAGGAATATCATTCAACAAGCTATTGATGCCGGAGAGGTCCCATCCTATAATGCTTTTGTTAAAGAATCAAAACAAAAAATGAATGCAAGGAAAAGGAGGGTAAGAGTTTGAATGCTATTAGGGATTTATATCTTTTTCCCTCCATTCTTTTTTTAAAGTTGAATATGCAGTAGGGTTAGCTTGATCTATAACTTTCATATAATTAAATAGGGGTTCTTTAATAAAAACCTTTATTTTGGTATGTGGTGCTCATGATTTTCTGCATGAATTGTTCATTTAAAAATTTTTTTTGGTACTGGAGATCGAACTCGGGTCCTTGCTGCATGAATTGTTTAGTGTGATCTTAAAATAACACTATTATTTTTCATATGGGCCAGTTCTTGAAGTTTGGCTGAAGCATTCCTTAAGAGGTGAAGTAATAGAGAGCCCAGGTGCATGACATCGTCAGCGCTCCTCACTTGGTTGACAAACAGGAAGAGAATAGCAGAGTTTGTGTTTGTTAAAGTGCATGCTGGGGGTGTGTGGCTTAGTGGTGGACCCCTTGCCTAACATGCACTAGGGTCAGGGTTGGATCCCCAGGACTGAAAAAAAAGGTGCAGTTCCTTACCGCATATGTGTATAATTAAAATTGAAAAATATAATTTACAATTTTTTAAAAGGTGCAGATTCTTAAGCTTTTTCTCAGAGATTGATTTTTGAGTTGGATCCAGGATATATGTTTTTTAAAAACTAGTTTATTTTGTTGAGGGTGTTTCCCACCGCACTTTGAGAGACACTTAACTGTGAAGGATAAGGAATATGGCCTGTGCGTCTTTACACCTATATTAAACACAGGTTGGGGGTAATGGCAAAGGAGAAGTGCTTAAGGACAGGTGGAGTTCAGGGAGAGCGCTCAAGGACAGGTGGAGTTCAGGGAGAGCGCTCATTCAAAGTAATCTTTACGTCAGCTTGGCTTGCATAACTGGAACTCCAGGGAGACCAGGTTTTAGATCTTGGTGGGTACTTGAGATGATTTTGTGTGGCTGAAGTTGGAGATAAGGGGGGCAGCTTTAAGATAAAAGATAACACAGAAAACTGACCTTTTTGTTTTGGTGGATGTTTAAAGGACCTCTTTTGCCAGCTCTGTGTTGAGCAGAAGGCAGAAGTGGAATGAATGCACTGTATATCAAATCCTTTTGCTTCATGAGGTACATCTATTTAGACTCAGGCTCACATCAAATCATTTTTTTCAGTGAAACTGAGCACAGCAGTTTCAATTGTAGGATACTAGCCTGAGAAACTTCCCTAGAGTTTGAAGAGAAACAGTATAGTTTTGAGAGACTTAGGGAAGAGAGGGATGCTGAATTTTGAGAGATACAAAAAACCTGTCTCTTTATTGGGATAACAAGATTCTAATTTATCAACCTTCCCAATATTAATAGCATTTTTTGCTACTTAGAAAATTCACCAAGGGTTAGAGCCACTTATCATAGTTGGTGCCCTAAGATATCCTTGTGGTATTTTGGGAAATAGGGTAAATGAAGCAGCTTTGAAATCAGTTAAAGAAAGGTTAAAACTGAATTTGTTAATGTTGTTTCTTCTGATACTCTGGAGAAGTCATTTTAAACCAGGATTATTTACAAGATCTCAGTCTCACATAGTAAATGGGGTGCTAGAGGAAGGTTCCAAAGCACCTTGTGCTGGCATCCCTTTTGAGAATATCCTTGGTTAAGTGCCTTTCCTGGCTCTCCTTGCATATAGTTTTCCTTTCTGTCACCTTGTGGGGTTTTTTTTTGGTACTGGGGATCAAACTCGGGTCCTTGTGCTTGCGCAGCAGGCGGCGAAACCACTGAGCTAAATCCCCAGCCCACCTTGTGGTTTTTGATGCCAAAGTGTTTGCTACACCTCTAGTAAATTGAAATGGGGAAAAAAACCATAATTATTAAAGGAACCTGCTGCTTGCTCTCAGCAGTGTTTGTTGCCTTCTAATGAATGACATATTTGTATAATTTTGTGTGTTTTATGGATTCATATACTCCTCAAACTGAAAGAGAAGGGTGTATTTTAAGCATGGTTGCCATGGTGTCTTATAAGTTTCTATTTCAGGCACAGACAGAGGCTAAAGAAGCAGAAATGAGCAGGAAGGAGATGGGCCTTGATGAAGGAACTGATAACTTGAAAGCACTCATTCAGGTAATCTTGCCATGTTGTTGCCATTTCTTTCATGGTCTGACTCTTATCTCTTGCTGGTACTTTCTTAGGAGTGTATGAATGGTATTATATTTTGTTTTAAGATATAACTCATACCATCTTTTTTTTTTTTTTTTAAAGAATGTATAAATCAGGGCTGGGTATGGTAGTGCACAGCTATAATCCCAGCACTCTTGGGAGGCTGACGCTGAAGGATCACAAGTTTGAGCCCAACTTGAGCAGTTTATGACTTAGCAAGACTTTGTCTCAAAATAAAAAATTAAAAAAGAGTTGAGGTGGGTTCAATCCCAAGCCAGTACTATGCAAAAAAAAGAAAAAGAATGTACAGTTTAATACATTCACAAAGTTGTACAACCATATTGTCCCCATTCTAGAATAAACCCCATATCCACTTGCAGTCATTCCCCGTGCTCTTCTCCCAATCCCTGCTAACACCATTAAGTAATTTCTGTCTCTCTGAATAGTGTTTTGAAAGCTGTGTTTTAACTTCTCAAACAGAGCAGACAGAAGGATCGGCAAAAGGAAATGGACAGTTTTCTGGCTCAAATGGAAGCAAAATACTGCAAACCTTCCAAAGGAGGAGGGAAAAAAGCAGCCCTCAAGAAAGAAAAGAAATAATGGAATTTTTCTCTTCAAAGGTCCTAAGGCATCAATTGGTGCTATTGTAGGCAAGGTACACAGAAGGCAAAGTTAACCTAACCCTTAAGAGAAGTTGTCCTTCCAGCCTAAATTATTTAGATCAACTAAATCAAGCAGAATTTCTCAACCTGGTCTTAGATTTCCTAGAAATGATCTGACATCTTGAGAAGCCCCTACAGGAAGGAATGTGGCGGTGATGGTTGGGATGGCAGTGTATTTGCCTCCGTGGGTCTTGGGTCTTCTGTCTCAGGAGCTCCCTCTAGAAGGTGGGTCTGTCCATCCTGCTTTCAGTAATGTGCACATCTGATGCAAAACATACTACACCTGGCTAGAACAGTCAGAGTACTTGCTGAACAGGTAGCTGTCTTCCAAATAATTGCCAGCTTGCTTTTGGTTCTAATGATCTTAAATAGACTCTTTTTTTTTTTCTGTCCTTTTTATTAGTCAGGTTTTTTACTCTTATCCTTAAAGTATAGGAGAAACAGGTATTTAGATAATGTCAAACATTTTTGTAAAGATGTGTGTGATTAAATAAACAAGTAAAAACAATAAGTTCTGGTGGCTTTTTAAATGGTCCCATTGATCATTTAAAATGTGATCTAGAAGAAATACGAATGGTATTTTGGATAGACAAGATTAAAAAAATTTCTAGTCAGCATTATAATAGAAAGCCTGCATAAAGAGATTCATGTTATCCCAGCTCTGAACTTGTTTCTTCCTCTGTAAGAGAGTGTTATCCCATCTTGTCATATCAAATGTATAATTTTGGTTTCATTTTAAGAAATAAACTGCACTAGCTTTGAGAGAACACAGACAAACAAAAAAAGGGTAAGGGAATTGGCTAAACCACTTTTTAGAGACACCTGACTGCCTTTGAAAGGCAAGCCATATAGATCCAATTTTATAATATAGTCATGGTACTGATGTCTGAGAATAATAGTACAAAGATTTTATTTCTATTTTGATAGGTTGGTGGTATGTATTCATTGTAATATATGTAATTTTTAAAAGGACTGTTTAACTTAAAATCTTCAGTTTGTAGACTACTATAGTCAATATACAGTAATGGATAAAAGCTTTCTCTTGCCATTAAACATTATATGACATAATTTATCAGAAATAAGCACAATACATTTTCAGTTTGTAGTTAAGAAAAGTTAAAAATACCCTTTAATTGTATTAAAAAAATAATGTGGGGGGCCAGGGATTTAGCTCAGTGGTTTCACCACCTGCTGCGCAAGTGCAAGGACCCAAGTTCAATCCCCGGTAACCCCCCCCCCCAAATATTATGTGGGTTTGAACTTGTCTTCATATGATATAGCATTAGAACACTGGTATAATTTAAGTCACCTCAGTTTATGGTCATTTCAGTTTATACACTCTGCGAATTAACAATAAACCTGGTATGATAGTTAAGGTTAACATTCATTGAAATTAAGATAAGAAATTAATCCTTATTTAAAGCTATTGCTACATTTGTGAGTTCACAATAAAAAATTAGAAGAATGCCAAAGTTCTCTATTCCTGCTGCTCTTAGGATATGTTTATACTGGACAAATTGCCAGTTTCTTAAATTTTTTAAGGAATTGTGCCTTTATGGCTCAAAACATAGATTCTACGAATTTTTTTTTTTTGGTACCAGGGATCGAACTTGGGTCCTCGTGCTTTCGAGGCAGGGCTGGAACCACTGAGCTAAATCCCCAGCCCAATCCTGTGAATTAAAAAAATATATATATAACTTTTTTAGAGCTTCAGGAGATCTGTCAAAGTGAGTTAAATATTTTTGGGAGAAAATGATGAATACAGTACTTTAAAATAAGCATAACTGCCAGGGATTTAGCTCAGTGGTTCCGTCGCCTGCCTCGCAAGCGCAAGGTCCCAAGTTTGATCCCCGGTACCAGGAAAAAATAATAAAATAAAATAAGCATAACCTGATATCAAGCAGGATTATGTAAGGTTGAGCTATCCAATCTAAAAAAAAATACACAATTTATTACTCAAGTTACTTATACCAATGCTTATGTCTTTACTCAATCCTTCCATTTCATTTTGGCAATAGGATTGGACATCTAAAGTGAAACCTTTAAGAGTGACATTTATTTGAAAAGTAGGTGAGAGTTTTGATAATACCATCTCCTAAAAATGAGTCAACTTGAATTGAGTGTAGCTCTCCAGAAATTAATACTAGCTGAAGTATTCTGAAGCCAGTGACATTGTTAACAGTCATTTGCTGCTTTTTGTGTTTATGTAATCTCACGGAATCCTATATAACTGAACTGTTAACAGACAACATGAGCAGTGATTGGAGGTAATCATTCATTGTTACATCTGGGGTACAGTCTTCACTGTCCAGTGGAAGAGGTAACTTATGCTGAAGGAAGACAGTAACTGGAGATGGAGACTGTACCCATGCTGTCTTTGGCAGATACATTCTGTTTTCCTCAGTCAGTTGTACCAAAATAACTATGAAGATGGACTCAAGCTGGTCTTGTATACAAGCTCTACTCACTCAGTGACTGAACACTGATTCATGGTATCTTACATGTTTGCTGCAGCTTCATAGATTCTTCTCATTTGCCCTGCGGTCCTTGCCTGGTTCTAGAGACTGGTCCACCCCTGCTTTGAGGTTTTGTAGAGCCATGTAACTGTGAACCTGTCAGGCAGATGACATCAGAGTAACATTAGTAAACAGTCCAGATTTGGTAATACCACATTTCATAACTTAGGGCTTTTTTGCTCCAGTTATCATTTGGACTTTAAATTTGGAGACTGGGATTAAGTAGTAAAGCATATATTTGCCAAGACATTAAAAAACAATTTTATATATTTTATGCTATAAAAATATTAAAAAGACCTATATTTTAAGAAATGAAAGCAGTAACCTAGTTTTGCTTAAGAGCCCTTTATAATTAGGCTTCAGTCAGATGTGTTTGCTCACCAAAATGTTAACATTACTTACACCTGATGAAAAATATGGCTGAATGTAATAAATGGTTCTTTAGGAGCAATCCATTAGATAACAAGAAATAGGGAAATCGATCTTTCTCAAAAGGGAAAGGGATGAAGAGATGGAGGGAGGAAAGGAAGAGGGGATTGGAAGAAGGAATTAAGACATGTTATATGCATGTACCAACTCCACACAAGGAATGGAAAAACATGCACTGCAAATGTGTACTAATAAAAAATTTTACAATATAAAACAAAAATATGATTAATGCTACTAGGAACTGAACTGAGAGAAATCAGTTGAACTACAAATGGCTTGAAAAAGCTTAGTTTTTTACTATCCTGATTTATCATTAACAGGAAGTATTTCAACTGTCCAATACTAATAAATTTCACCTACAGTATAATAATCCTGAGGATGGGAGAAGACTGTCATGGAAGAATTAAGACATTCTGCTACTTTCTCCCATTACTCCTTTGTTAATACAATTTATAGAGTATAAGTGAAGAGTTTTAAAAGTTAAGATAAAATCAGATTCACCATATCCTGACATTTTAGAATTTCTTGCCTTGGCCTGACAGGTAAAAGCAGTTTAATTCATGGCAATGTGGGCTTTGCCTACATAATAAAATCCATGCTATATATATATATATATATATTTTTTTTTTTTTGGTCCCCAGCCCTTAAAGAATATTTTGAATGTTACAAATATGACATTTCATTTGCATTTTTAGATTAAAGAAAAAATTGAAGTTTATCAGGGCAGTGAGAGATTAATTTACATGATATGAAAAAAACAGGTCAAACTGCTGGGGATTTATCTCAGTGGGACCACACTTGCCTCTCAAGTACAAGGTCTTGAGTTTGACCCCCAATAAGATCATCATAAAATAAGTTGAACTTTTGGTTTGAGAAATTGAACTCTTTATTGTACCCCATCTTCCAAAATGAATTTAGGTGATTTACACAGATGTAGGGAAACTAAATAGAAGAAAATCTGGAGGAAGGGAAGATTAGTATAGTATAATAAGATTAGTATATAAGTATAGGGAAAGAGAGAGAAAAAAAATGAAGGCAGGGTCTTAACATAACCAGAATAGTAAAATAAGAATTGCAGCCCCACCTGTACCTGTGGCTCCCCTACCGGGTCGGGCCTGATGAGGGTACTCAACTGCAAATGCCTGATGATAGTGTGTATCTGGCTAAAAGAAGGGGAAAGACACATTTTATAATGCTACTTCTCCCAAAGGATAATATTTCAGGTTTACAAGGGAAAACACTGAAATTGTCAATAAGGCAAAAGGCATCGTTGGCCAACTCAAGAAAAAAGTCAGCTGAGGGCTGTGTAGAATTCTGAAGAAAAAGATGGTCAAAGCCATCTGCTAACTTGTAAAATTTATACATTCTACACTTATTACTAAGAAATTTATTTTTAATTTAATTTAATTTTATTGCTAAGAAAACTTAGCTATCTGTATGGTTTAATATTTCAGTTAGCTTCCAAGCGAATTTTATCAGATTTCTCACTCTTGTATTTTAAAACAACCCACCTTTTCAGTAACAGTGATAAACCTATGACTTTACTGCATTGAAATTTAACTTTAGGCAACCCATTCGGGGCCCCTCCTGTTTCTCAGGATCTATTTTTATTCCCCATTCTTAGTCTGTATTCCTATTCTCCAATAAATTTTCCTACTCTTAAAAAAAATTTAACTATATATTGTTGGCTTTATGAAATAAAAAGGAAATATGTCATCCTGCTGGGCTTCTGGAATAAAAAAAAAAATCCCTCAATTCCTCATTAGAGCACTGGAATTAGGAGATGTAAGGAAAAAAAATTTTTTTAGTAAAGCCACATATTCTAGAAATTATGGTTTAGCAAACTTACTTTTTGTGACAGGCCACATAGTTAAGCCAGATAGTAGTTATGGCAACAAATTAATTTTGCTGTTAGGTGGACGTAGCCACAGATGAATGAGCTTGGTAGCTCTGCTTCACTAAAGCTTTATTTACAAAAACAGGTGGTAGGTTCAAAAACTTGTGCACTCGGCTGGGATTTAGCTCATTGGCACCATGGCTGCCCCGAAAGCACAAGGTCTTGAGCTTGATCTCTGGTACAAAAACCAAAACAAAACTCCTGAACTGTAGTTTACTGATCCTTATTCTATAGAAAGCACTGATGGGCATAGTGGCAGAGTACTTGTCTGGTGGCACCTGGGCCCAGGACTCAGCTAGCTAGTTTTTTGGGTTTTTTTCTCCAGTGCTGGGAAAACTGATACTCTTAATTAAATTGAACTATTAGCTCATCTTCCTTTTTATGACAGCAAATAGGGAGAAAAATAGCTAGGATATATAATTTTTACTTTGTTATTGTTAGAAATTTATTTTGAAAAGACAGACTTTGAAAGGTTTTCATGGGTTCACTTTTATTCTTAAGGCAACCAAAATTAAATTTTGAAAGTATAGCAATAGAATATAATCAACATTGTTTAACATATGTTCTGGATCAAATTATGAGATGACCAATTCAATTCAATTCAGGCTTTCTGGGGTTGAAGAAATCAGAAGTGCTTGCATTTTTGCCCTTGTTTTCAGTGGGTTCCTCAATCAAACCTCAGGGTGTCTACTGGGTTTAATAGTGTACCCCAAAATTCATGGCCACCTGTAAATGTGGCGATATTTGGAAATATGGTCTCTGTAGGTCTAATCAAATCATGGTGAAGCTGCTGGGCATGGTGGCACACGCTTGTAATCCCAGCACTTGGGAGGCTGGGGCAGGAGGATTGTTGCTAGTTCTAGGCCAGCCTGGGCTCCATAGTGAGTTCAAGACCAAGCCTGGACTACATAGCAAGACCCTGTGTCAAAAAAAAGGATGGTGAAGTCTTAATGGACTAGGGTGGGCCCTGAGTTCAGTGACTATATCTGTAAGGAAAGGGAACCTTGTACACAAGCACACAGGGTAGGCCATGTGAAGATGAGGTGAACATTGGAGTGATGAAGTTGCAAGCCAAGAAAGCAACAACCAGAAGCTAGGAAGAAGCATGGAGAGATTCTCCAGAGTTTGCAGAAGGAGCATGGCTTTGCCAACACCTTGGTTTTGGACCTCAGCCTCTGAAACTGTGAGAATAAATTTGTTTATGCCCCCTAGTTTGTGGTCATTTGTTACGGCAGCACTGGAAAACTCACCCAAAGCTCCATCCATATATTATTCTCACCACTCTTAACCAAAGAAGGACTGTAGAGTACTTTAGGCTGACATGGTTGAAGGGTCATGAGTTGGGGTAAATAGGCTACCACTACCACCATTCTGAAAACTGGTGCCCGGTGTGGGGCCTTTGGTTCGGGGGCACTGTGAGCAGTCACTTCCCTAGCTCCACAAGCCCTCTTGCCACACAGCAGATGAGAAGGGGCTGCACTCCTGATGTATAGATGGGCAAGGTCAGTGCATGGCCCCCAGGCTCCCAATCAGGTTTTTTCCTGTCTTGCTTCAAAGTAAAAGCACGAGTAACTGCACCGCCTTTAAATACCAGTAGGAAAAGGTCTTAACTTCCACCGGTCTCCTCAGTCTGATACCATTTTTTGATGTAATTCCGCAAGAGCAGGGTGGACAGGGAAGTCAGGGAGATCTAATATACACTGGGGTTTAGCATTTTTGCTTGTGCTCAGAAATATTTAAATTGTTTAGAATTTGTAATTTATAAGGCTGACAAAAGAATGAGCAGAGTCCAAGCAGAATTTCAGCAAAAACATACTTAGAATGCTATTTTCTATCATTGGAACTGCAACTTTCATTCTTGGAGGGAAGCCACTGGGTAAAATGTTGGGGCTGAGAAACTGGGTCCCCACTTCTTTCCCCAGCTATCAAGAGCAAATGGGGAAAGAAAAGCAAATAGGAAGCACATCATTTTACCAGAAATGACTGAGTTGTGTTGGGTCTGGAGAAGTTGGGTAAAAGGATCCTCTCCTGAGGCTGCTGATGGTTAGGCTCGTCCATCACTGCACTTTGAGCTCGACTGGGATCCCCTTGGGCACGGGGTTTCTGCGAAGGAGACAATTGACTTAAGACTAGTGGGAGCTGCATGTGTCCCCCATCAACCTGGTACCTGCAGGTCAAGCTGCTCCAATTCCACTGTCATAAATTAGAACTCAGTTTGCACTTTTTTTTCTTTGGTACTGGGGATCAAACTTGGGTCCTTGCGCTTGCGCAGCAGGCGGCAAAACCACTGAGCTAAATCCTCGGCCCGTTTGCACTTTTGACAGTACAGTATAAATGAAGACCAGAGCACAAATACTGCAGAATGACTGCCCTTGAGGTTTTATATGGTAAGTACATGGAGAGGCAATGAGAGACTTACCGATTGCCTTTGTGGCCCCACACTGCTCAGATATTCCACTTCAGCTGTGCCAATAGGTGGCAGCAGGTTATTTCGACCCAAGGGCATTGGTGAGGGAGAGAATGAGTCGGCTGCCACTGGGCTGCAGATCCACCAGCAAATGCCAAGTTGCAAAAGCGTGAAGTTGAATAATACAAGCAAATGGATTAGAAAACAAATGAAATAGCTTGAACATGCACAGAAAGCTTTATGCCATGTATATTTTTAAGTAAAGGGATTGCAAAGGATTTAGGAAAATTGGTGTTACATGTTTCAGAAATACAAATCTTAAGCCAAATCAATACACTCAGTATTTCATTAAACTTCAACCCTACTTAAAAATTTTATATTTTATATTCTATATGTAAAATTCATTAGTTTTACCATATTGTGGAAATTCTGCTTTTGAAACCTACACTCGGGATCCTCTGAGGATTTCTTCCACAGGTCTTGGCATTCCAGTGCGGGAATGGCTTGTGCTGATCGGATGAAGGGTACGTGGTGGGGGATTACGTCTCCTGGCAGACTGTACTGTATGTAACACAGATGATGTGCCAAGCTCCAGGGTTCGGTTTGGCCAATTTCGGGTTGGAAGGATGGTACTGGACCCAGGCCTCATAAGTAGCTTGTCAGCAAGATCTCTAGTGGCCAAATCAAAAACCCACAATGAAACAGATTATTATGTATAGGAAGATAAGACTCACAGAGTAAACACCCTTTTTCTAAAACATTTAGATGAGAAAATAAAACTGGAAACCTTTCAGTAAGTAACTTAGTTTCCAGAAAAAAATCTAGAGCACAGCCATGAGAATCTAGGCTTAAAAGGACACTATGTCAATCACAAAAATTGAGGTTTGAGACAGCAATTCTACAGGGTCTGGGGCCAGGATAATTGGAAAGCTGGGAGTAGGGGAAGTGTGTGTGTGGGGTGTCCAGAGCAATGAGACTACTGTAGATCACATTTGCATAAACATTTAAGAAAAACATCTCTTCTGCAAATGCTCTGATAGAATAACATGCCGAACAGTTCAGTATCTTAAACACTTCCTTACAGGTTTGGGGATTTTCTGTTTTTTTCTTAAAACATGTGAGAAGGTGACTATTATATGACATCAGATCTAAGAGACAGTATTTGCCCAGTGAAATGGAGGGAAAGTTAAAGAATAAAGCAGGTAAGCTCTGCTGCCTATTCATGTGACTTTCAGCAAGCTCCTCAGCTTTTCAGGCCATTTTATTGTCTTCTATCACAAAACATGCTTTGGGTCTGGAGGACTTTGAAGGGAGAATACCCATTAAGGAACAGGTCCAAACCTTGAGAATGACAAGAGACCTTTCTCATCTTCCTGCCTCCAGTCATTCACTTATCTGTGCCCCTTTTTTTCAAACTCAATCACTGCTTTTTAATTGCAAAAGGTTTGGGGGCTTTAGCTGTCCTATGTTCATCTTTATTCTGTGTTTCTCATTCATGATTCCGGGGTTCAGTTATCATCTCTAGCCAGGTGACTTTCCGATTAGTCTCCAACTCTGCTCTTCCACATTTCCCACTAGATGGCCCATCACTGTAAAGTGAACACAGCCCCAAAGAAACTCATCTTTTCCTGAAAAACAAGTTTCCCTTGAACTTTGATTCCTGTTTCTATATTATTTCATTTCTTTTATAATTAGTTCATTTTTTTCCTGTCTTGTGCCGCTGCTTAAATGCAGACCCAACCCCTATGTAGCTGCCTTTTAATTCCTCCTACTTCAATCCAGTCTATATTCTACTGATGTGAGATCTGTCTTTCACATTCCTGATTTAAATATGTGCTCCCCAACTGAAACTAGGATTGCCGGTAGGAATGTACAATGGTATAACCACTCTGGGAAGTTCTATGGCAGTTTCCTATAAGATGAAACATGCACCTCTCCTATCACCCTTTCACTCCTAGGTATCGACTCAAAGAAAATGTGACCATATGTCTGCGAAAAAGACCTATGCAGGAATATTTATAGTGCCTTTATGCATAATAACCCCAACCTGGAAACAACCCTCATGTTAACAATGTGTTCTTATAGTGGAATACTAAGCAAGTGAGAAGGTCATGTGCAACGTCATGCATGAACCTCAAAAACATGGTGTTCAAAACCATCACAGCCTGGTCACAGTGTTTATTAGTTTCATAGTCTCCTCCTCATTAATCATACTATGGCCTACTTTATTTCCAGAAAATCAATGATATTTTATCAAGCATTAAAGTTCTGATGTCTCTTTATCCTACTGTAGCAAAATAGTCTCCCTTAAATGTGTAGCATTTTCCTATATCCAAACCTTTTCCCACACTTTTCTTTCTGCCTAGAATGGCCCTGTTGCTTTTCTCTGAATATCTAAACCCTTATCTGCACTTACCCATCAAAATGCCTTCTCTTTGGGGCTGCCATAGCATTCACTCTATGTGGCACTCCGTCACTAAAATGCCCTATGTGGTGAGGTCTTTTTAACCCATGTGTATTTTTTCAGTTAGCAGCTCCCTGCAGATGGAGACTGTGTCCCTTGGATGTTTTATACCCTGGGTGTGTCTGGGGTTCCTTAGTAGGTACTCAGAAAGGCAGGGTGATTAACTGACTTTGCTTTTTCTTTATTAGTGATTGATTCAGACTTGTAGTCTTTTAAAATTTTATACTTCTTACAGGAGCTTGTCCATTAGGGAGAGATTTCTTGGCTGTAGAGGCATCCCATGAACCAAGAGACCATTCATATTTGGCTGGTGACCACTTGCTTGACAGAAACTCATCTAAATGTCAAGAGAAGATGTTACTCGTTATTGGTTGGTTAAGATACCTGCTTGATTTCCCAACTTTGTCAGGAGTTAGTATTTCCAAGTAGGTCATTTATACATTTTCCCTCTTTGCCTTAATTTTTATAACATCTTAGCCATAGTCCTGAGGATAGGGCCCTTTTCTTTCCTCTCTATGTCTAAGTGACAGCAGGTTGGAGATATCCTATGAAGCTAAATGAAAGCAGTTAGCCACTTTCATAGAAGAGAGATGACCATTGTGGTGTTTACATTACAATAAAAAACAACCTAAGTAGAAAATTCACAAAAAAAATAGGGAACAATAATAGAAATAAAACAAGGGTAAACTCTTAATCTCCCTCATCATCACCTAATCCTGAACTCAAATCCAGCACCCTACCTCCTGGGCTACAACTACAGGTTAATCATAAACTGTATACAAATTTAACCCCTTTTCTTTTACTACCCTGGGAGCCGTCAGCTCTCTCTCTCTCTTTTCCCCCATAAGTAAGGCTGGGAAAACCATCATGTGGGAAACTGGACTACATGAATCATTATACAGAGATGAGACCAAGCTCATTTGCCTCCTGCAAGAAATAGTTAACTTTGTCCTTGTTCACAAATTTACTTTAGGTAGGTTTTCTCTTGGCTTGCTTTTTATACATCGGCTATGAGGTAAACATCCAAAGACAAAAAAAGTCATTCAAATATTAAAGAACAAAAGAGTATAGTGTGAGTTAAGGGAGGAAAAAAAGAGACAAAAAGGAGTTTAAGGGGCAGATGTTAAAACCACAGAAAATCTGTTAATAGCCCCTCTTTTCATCATAACTATATCCTTCATTCTTCCCAAAATAGATGGAGGCTGACCACATAGTTGAATCTAGACTGCACAACTTACAGATGCCTCTTCCAAAGAGCTAGCTAAGAATTATTTATCAACCCTTAATTTGCTATTAAACTGAAACTGATCATTGCAAAGAATCATTGTGTTATCATAATAAAGACACAAATGTACTAAAGAGTACTGAGTGATATAAAGTACTCTGAGCAAATTTCCTCCGGCAAGAACATCCTAAGTCTCCTTTAGCACTTACTAGATTTGAGGTAATGGACAGCATCTTAGACTGTGGTACTTGGGGTAACACCAAAGGATGTGGTTCATTCAGCACACAGGGACTTTCCATATCCAGTCTGGTGGTTCCAACATTATTCTCATCATCTGAGTAAAGGAACAGAATTATTTTTACCCATGAGTGTCTTCTGACGCACAGCAATGATAATGGCAAAAAAAATTCCCCCAGACTCTGTAATCTTAAGCAAGGCTTCCTTCATCTTTGCAGCACAGTTTCATACCATCACATGGTTCCAGATAAACCCCTCAAACTGAGAGTTTGTTTTAGAGTGGTTTTCCAGGATGGTGATGCCTGGTGGTACCCAGCAGAAGGAAATGGAAAAAACAGTGAGAGCCAAGCTATGTGACGGAGCCTTTGGAGTTGATAGAACTTTTACACCTGTGCTGTCCAGTGTTACAGTCACTTGTAGCTATAGAACACTTAAGATGTGGCTACTACGATTGAGGAACTACATTTTATTTAATTTTTAATATTTATTTATTTAGGTTTTTTGAGACAGGGTCTTGCTATGTAGTCTAGACTGCCCTTGAACTCACTGTGTAGCCCAGGCTGGCCTCCAGCTCTCAGTGATCCTCCTCCTCAGCTTCCTGAGTGCTGGGATTACAGGTGTGCACCACCATACCTGGTTAATTTTATTTATTTATTTATTTATTTTGGTACTGGGGATCGAACTCAGGACCTCATGCTTGCCAGGCAGGTGCTGTGCTGCAGAGCTAAATCCCTAGCCCTATTTAATTTTAATTAAATTTAAATAGGCACATATTACTAGTGCCTAGTGGACAGTATAACTCCAGGAGAACCTTTAGATCATTAATCTAAACCTCAGTTCCTACAGATGAAGTTATGAAATTGGAAAGTATTGTTAAAATCACATGACCTAAAGCCGGGTATGGTGGTGGGTACCTGTAATCCCAGCACTTGGGAGGTTGAGGTAGGAAGATCACTGAGAGTTCAAGCCAGCCTGGGCTACTTAGCAAGACCCTGTCTCAAAAAATCAAAAATAAGTAAATAAATAATGTTTTTTTAAAATCACGTGATCTATAAGGAAATGAAGGTACCATGAAAAAGAGCAAGCAGAAGCAATATAATTCAGGTTTGCAAAGATTTTAGAAATTGGAATGAAGCCAGGCGTGGTGGTGCACACCTGTAATCCCAGCACTCAGGAGGCTGAGGCAGGAGGATTGCCTCAAGTTCGAGGTCAGCCTGGGCTACACAATGAGTTCAAGGCTAGCCTTGGCTACATAACAAGACCTTCTCTCAAAAACCAAAACCAAAACAAAAAAATTGAATGAATAGATACAGAATATAAAGTAAAAGAGATTGAAAATATGAGTAAGAACAAGCAGATTTTAAAGAGCACAATAATTTTTTAAAAAGAGCCCAATAAAACCACAAAAGATAATTAAAATTAAAATCTCAGCCAGAAGTTAACAGCAGAAATAGTGAACCAGAGAAAAAAATCTGAAGAAATTATCATGAATTCAAGGAAAGAAGAAGATATAAAATATGAGGTTGAACACTGAAAGGGATGTGTTTTACTGTATACAAATTATTGATTTTTAAAATGTAGAAATAAAAGTTCAGGAAAATACTCTTTTACATATTGACAAAAAAATTAAAATTGCACAGTAAGTGTCAGTAAGACTGTGAGCATAGGAACTCATGTCCTGGTGATGGGGACAGGAACTGTGCAGTCACTTTGGGTACACACTTACAGCCCATCAGTTTCACTCTGTGGCTCACACCCTACAGAAGCTTTTACATATATGAACCAGGAGAAATAGTCAACAATGTTATAGCATCACTGGTCATAACTGTCAAACACTGCACTTTCGTATTCCTAAAGCACACTGGGATTTTAGTACTCATCATCAGTTGGCTACAAAATAAACTCAAAAGGAGAAATCATGTTTCTGAGTAAAATCATTACGAACTCTTTTGGTCTTTATTGTTTCTAAGTCATTTCCATTGTTACTCTTTGATTTACTGTTGTTTTATTCAAAGAAGGTATAGCTTCTTTTGAAAAAAATTACCAGTGAAGCTTGTTTCCCGGTTAGCATATTAGGGTTAAAAATAATAATAATAATAATTTTAAAATAAATAGTGTTTTTCTTCCATAATTTGTTTTTAAAATTGTCTTGATTAAAAGTTAAAATGATCATTAAAAATAACAAGTTATAGGCCAGGGATTTAGCTCAGTGGTGCTGCTGCCTGCCTCACAAGCACAAGGTCCTGAGTTCAATCCCTGGTACCAAAAAAAACCCAGAAAACAAAAAATAACAAGTTATAGAGGCTAGAGGATAGGCTCAATGGTAAAGCCCTTTTCTGGCATGCAAAAGGCCTGTGTTTGAGCCTCAGTACCCCACACAGACACACAGATGCATGCATACCCTTAAATTATAAAGGCAAATGAGTACATTTATTCAATTTTATATAATTTTGGGTTATAGTTGACAAAACTTAAAATATCATAAGTGGTTCCATAGTTCTGTTGCACATGACTAGCTTGTAGGTTGGCTTTCTTCCTCACGTAGGAGTAGTAAGGATAGATTTGTACAAGTGCCTGGATGTCGGTTCTCACAAAAACTAACTAACCAACTGGTCCATACCAAAGCCAAAAATTCATACTTCCAGGTATAATTAAGCAATGATGCTCAGCATAAAGGACCTGGTTTCAACTCCAAGAATGGAAAGAAAAAAAAAGGAATGATAACCACTAACATTTATGGAGCGCTTCATATTCTAGGAACTAACTGCTTATGTGTTTTCATGTAATTTGTTTATTCCTTAAACAACCTTCTGATGTAGCATTATACTCCTTTTATGGATAAGGAAACTGCAGCACAGAGAGGTTAAGCAACTTGTCAAGGATCTAAAGTTAGTGCTAGAGCCAGGTGTGGTGATGCATGCCTGTAATCCCAGCACTCCGGAAGCTGAGGTGGGAAGATTGCTGTATGAGCCAAGCCTGGACTACATAGTGATGAACTTAATAGATTTGACATTGTGGAAGAAAAGATTAGAGAACATGAAGGCACAAAAATAGAAATTATCCAAAATGAAATAGAGAAAAAAGAATGCCAAAAAACTTTCAAAATATCACTTATTTGAAGGATCAGTGATCAAATGGACTAGTTTATGGAAAACAATTCCTGACAAATGATGGGAGACAGAAAAAGTATCTGAATAAATAATGGGTAAAAACTTTTACAGTGAAAGCAATAAACTTTCAGATCCAGGAAGTTCAACAAACTCTAAGAAGAAGAAACATAAGAACCACATCAAGGCATGTCATAATCAAGTTGCTCAAAACCAGTGATACAAAGAAAGTCTTTAAAAGCAGCCAGAGGAGAAAAAGATGTACACAGGAACAAAGATATGGGTGAAATCCAGTTACTTGTCAGAAATAATGCGAAAAGAAAGACTTTAAAATAGTATGAGACAATTGTTGACATAGAATTTGTAAAACTATTTTGCAAAAAATGAAAGCCAAAGAAATTTGCATCTATACAAAAGAAACAATCACCAGTGGACCCACAGACAAGGAATATTATAGGACATTCTTCAGGATAGAAGAATTTTTTTAAAAGTTTGTGTGTGTGTGTGTGTGTGAGAGAGAGAGAGAGAGAGAGACAGAGAGACAGAGAGAGAGAGAAGATTCATTTAACATTAAATTTACCATTTAAACTATTTTGACTTTTTTGCGGGGTGGGATACTGGGGATCGAACTCAGGACCTTGAGCTTGTGAGCCAGGCGGCAGAACCACTAAGCTAAATTCCCAGCCCCTAAGCTATTTTAAAGTGTATAATTCAGCAGTCTTTAATATATTCACAATGTTGTGCAATCATCACCACTGTGTAATTTCAGAAAATTTCCATTATCCCAATTCCCCACGTTCTCTATCTGCTGGTGACACTACTTTTTGTCTCTATGGCTCTGCCTATTCTGGACACTTCATATAAATGGAATCATATAATATTTGGCCTTTCATGTTTGGCTCCTTTCATTTAGCATTTTCAAGGTTTATCCATGTTGTACCGTGTATCAGTACTTAATCCATTTATGCTGAAGGTTGCCATTTTTTGAATTTTTGCATGAAATTCATATATATTACCTAAAAAAATTCAAGGAACAAGAATTTGAAGAAAAAAATTTATTATGTTCCATTGTTATGTGCCATTCCAAAAATGGATTACTAGGCATAAAAGGATTAATTCCTTTTTATGACCAAATACTATTCCATTGCGTGGTGCATTAGTCTTCTACACCGGACTGGTATTACACAATAGACACTTTTTCACAGTTCTGGAATCCAAGATCAATCACATCTGGGCTGGTCTCTGGTGAGGCCTCTCTTCCTGGCTTGTAGGTGTTCATCTCCTTGCAGTGTTCTCACATGACCTCCTCTCTGTGTATGTGTGGAAAGAGATGGATCTCTGGTGTGTCTACTGGACTAGAGCCTGTGCTGTCCCACTCCCACGGCCTCGCTTAACCTTAAAATCCTTGTCAAATACAGTCTCATTAATGGTTAGGGCTTCTACATTTGAATTTTAGGGGATACACAATTCAGTCTATAACACATGGATATACTAAATTTTGTTTATCCATTCACTAGTTGATGGACATTTGAGTTGTTTCTACTTTTTGGCTATTACAAAAAAATATATGGTTGTGAATATTCATTCATGTACAAGGTGGATTCAGAGCTGTGGCACTTGGGTACAGCACTGAGCTGCTCTGCTCTGCCGCAACAGTATGAGTCCTCTAACTTTTGTTTTTCAATGTTGTTATTCACTTGCAATAACAATAACACTAATATTGTTATTCAATATTGTCATTCAAAATTGGTTATTCAACCCCTCTGTATTCTATACGAATTTCAGGATCAGCTTGTTCATTTCTGCAAAAAAGGTGGTTTTTTTGTTTTGTTTGTGTGTTCGTGTGGTGCTGGAGATAGAACCCAAGGCCTCGCACATAGTAGGTAGGTAAGTACTCTACCACTGAGCTGCATCCCTAGCCCAGTGGTTGGATTTCTGAGTGAAACTGCATTGAACCTATGTATCTATTTGGGGAGTATGGTCACCTTAATATTTATGTCTTCTGATTCACGAACATGGGATGTCTTTCCATTTCTTTACAATTTCTTTAGGTCTTCACTAATTTCTCTCTACACTGCCCAACTCTTGAACTTCCCTGGTTAAATTTATTTCTAAATATCTTATTTTTTGATACTATTTAAATAAGTTATTTTCCTAATTTCATTTTTGATTGGTTGGCTTTGAAAAATAAGGCTGCTGTGAATAACATAGCTACAAAGAATTTTATGTTTCTGAGAACTCAAAAGGAGCAGTGGATCCTTTCTGAGCTGAGCCTCTACATGAGTACCCAGCACTCTCCTGTTACCTTAACACAGTCTTGTGAAACCCTCAGCAGAGAATTAGCCAAGTTGTTCCAGGACTTCTGACTTGAAAATGTGTGAGATAGGGCTGGGGATTTAGCTCAGTGGTTCTGCCGCCTGCCTCGCAAGTGAAAGGACCCGAGTTTGATCCCCGGTACCAAAAAAAAAAAAAAATGTATGACATAGTAAGCATGTGTTTAAAGCTGTTATTTGTGATAATTTGTTGAACAATTACAGAAAAACCTATATAAATAATTCTTAACAAATTAAATATGTATCTAACCATATAACCCAGCCATTCTACTACTAGGGATTTACCTAAGAGAAACAGAAATATATGACCCCCAATTTTTGTACACTATTCTTCATAATAGCTTTACAATTAAATACTACTTAGAAATAAAAGGAATAAATTATTGACACAATGAAATAGATGAATCTCAAAATCATTATGCTGAATGAAAGAGGTACAGAGCAGTACATACCATATGATTCCAGTCACACAAACCTCTACAGACCTCAAACTAATCTGTAGAGGCAAAAAGCAAATCACTTGTTCTGTCTGGACTCTTCATTCAGCATAACAATGAGGATTGGGTTGGATAAGGGCAGGAAAGAGGGATTACCAAAGGCATGAACTTTTGAGGGTGATGGATATGTTCACTATTGACTGTGATGATGGTTTCATGGGTGTACTTATAGGACAGAACTTACCAAACTGTATACTTTAAACACATGTAGTTTATTGTATGTCAGGTTCTCTTTAGCACAGCAGTTTGAAAGCATATACGCCACTTGCACATGGCTTTTTCTGACAGATCATTATACTCAGGAAGAAAGTACAAGCTGTTTGATCATCATAGACTAGGCCTTGTTATTCATCCACCCATTCTCAAGTATTTACTAAATACTTGTTAGTTTCTGTGGGAAATACACGAATCAGACCTAGTGTGATGTGATATAATAATAATAAATATATACTTGGACTCTGTCCTGGTTTCTGGCTTATAATTCTGAAAAATCCTTGAAATCTCCAATCCTTGTATCTTTTTGTATGCTAATAACTGGTGGTTGGGAAATCCCGAGTAGTTTCCAGTGCACTGACTGCTAAGGAAAATCAACTCTGTGATTAGGTTTGGAACTTCCAGCGCTACCACAGCCCCTGACCTCTGTGGAGGGGAGAAAGGCTGAAAGTTGAATTGATCGCCAGTTGCCAATGATTTAATTATATATGCTTATATAATAAATTTTCCATAAAAACCCAAAAGGACTAGTAGAGAGAGTTTCAAGGTTGCTGAACATGAGAGGTACCTGGAGGGTGGCATATCCAGAGAGGGTTCTACACACTTTTGCCCGTACTTTGCCCTGGGAATCTCTTCATCTGGCTATTCACCTGTATCCTTTGTAATAGTCTCCCTTTCTCTCTCTCTTTTCTTTTCTTTCTTTCTCTCTCTTTCTCTCTTTCTTTCTTTGCAGTATAGGAAACTAAATCAAGGGCTTTGCACATGCTAGGCAAGTGCTCTGCCACTGAGCTATATCCCTACCCTTTTATATTTTATTTGGAGACAGAATCTCACTAAGTTGCTCATGCTGGCCTTGAACTTGGGATCCCCCTGCCTCAGCCTCCTGAGTACTGTAATATTCTTTATAATAAACTAGTTAACCTAAGTGTTTTCCTGAGTTCTGTGAAACGTCCTAGCAAATCAGTCAAGCCTGAGGAGGAAGTCATGGGAATCCTGGTTTATAGCTGCTCAGTCAGAGGCACAGGTCACAGTCAGTGGCTTGCAATCGTCATGTGAAATGGAGCTGTCTTGTGGGACTGAGCCCTTAACTTGTGGGACCTGATGCTCTCTCCAGGCAGATAGAGTCAGAATTGAACTCAATCAGAGGACACCCAGTTGCTGTCCACTAGAGAAGTCTGGTGTGTGGGAAAAGCCCCTACATACCTGGCATTGGAATTGTGCTGTATGAATAGGAAAAAGCACTTTGGTTTTCCTATCTCTTATACCCACCATGTGCAATAATAAAGCATATAATCTAATACACTTGTTTAGGGTGTGGAAATAATGAAGAATTATTTTTGACATTTTTTTCACAAAGATCCTTACCAGAAGCAGATCCCTCCCAGTGACTATGTGTCAACTGCTCCAAACAGGCCACAACCTTGCTCCAGACTTTGTCAAACACATAAGCAAGGACATCCTCTTTCATGCAGTAAAACGGAGCAATGGGAGGGTACCCTAACTTCTGTTTCTCTGCAGCTGCTTCTGACTTCTTTTCATGAAATCTCTCTTCCCTGGAACAGAAGCAAGAGGGAAAGACTTCATGATTACTCTTCACTGAGTGTCCACCACTGTCCTCTGTGCTTCTTAGGAATGTGAGTGGTGCCCACTCCCCTCCCATGTGGCCCATGTATGAAGCTGCCTTGTGAGAAAAGGAGCTCTCAACAGAGGAAACCGCATTTCCCTTTTTATCCCCATCTCACCCCACTGTTCTGCAAAAAAGTCAGGAGCTAAAAGCACAGATGCTCCTCTAGGGAGCTTCTAAGATGCTGTGTGCAGAACCAGAGACCCTGCTTGGCCAACTCTGTCTGCTTCTCCCACAGGGAGCACCAACAGCCCTGGGGTTCAGGGGAAGAAAATCTCGCTGGTGGACATACTCACCTATCATAGATGTATTAGGAACTGAGACAAAGCAAATTCTGGAACTGGCTTGGGATAGGAAGAACTATCTCCAGGCTTCTACAGTGAAAGTTTCCCTGAGGTAGCAGAGGTCTTAAGAATCAAATAGGAGAGTTTGATCCCCAGTACCAAAAAAAAAAAGAATCAAATAGGAAACCGTGGCATAAAGAAGGGTGTGAGGAATTTTATACAGGGCAGCTACAGACTCTCTGCCTTCTGGGAGAAGAGCTGGTCTGGCATTAAGTGGAGGAGTAAGCTGTAGAGTTATTTGTATTTAAATTTACTTTTCTTTCTAGAAGAGATAATACACTCATGTTTATGGAAAAAATTCAAATCAAAAGAAGGACATACAGTGAAAAAGAAGTCCCCTACATCTCTTTTCCCTGGTCTCCATCCCCACAAGTACACTGTTCCAGAGAAATAGTTATGTCATACAATATAATGTACCTTGTTCTTTTATTTAATAATTTATCTTGGTCTTTCATCTCTGTCAATATTAATGTGCCTCTTAAAAATAGCTACAGTATTCCACTGGGTACATTATAACATATTAAATGAGTCCCTTATTGATCAAGAGTCAATATTGCACTTACTATAGTTTCTTAGTTTCATGAGTGCTATATGATCATGGTATATGATTTATGTAGGATAAATTCCTATAAATGCAATAGTTAAGAGACATTTTTTTCAATTTGAACGATATTGCCCAGCTTCCTCTAAAAAGGGCCTGTGGTCCAATGGTGAAAGAATGTACCTGTTTACATACTTAAGGAATCATCAAATGTCTTTATCTTTTGTTCTCTGCCAATCTGACAAATAATAACAGAATCTTATCATAGTTTTAATTTGCATCTCTAATGTAAATGGAGTGGAATTTCATGTGTTTATATCTATTTTCTTTTTATATGAACTTAATCCACATCCTTTGATTGTTTGTCCTTAGTCTTTTCCTTACTGATGTACAACATATTAAGGAAATAAACTTGGTGCAGATATTTTTGCCAGTTTGTCATTTGTTTTTTGACCTTATGAGATCCAACTTGGGACCTTGCGCTTGCAAGGCAGGTGGCAGAACCACTAAGCTAAATCGCCAGCCCCTTATGAGTTTTTTTCCTATGTAGAAATTTCACCTTATGCACTCATTTAAGAATTTGTCGGGCTGGGGATTTAGCTCAGTGGTTTTGCCACCTCCTGCACAAGCGCAAGGACCTGAGTTCGATCCCTGGTACCAAAAAAAAAGAATTTCTCATATGAATTAAAGGTTTTGTGTTATGGTTTTAAAGGCCTTCCCAATTCTCAAATCAATTTTTATACATATATTTTTAAATTTTTATTTTGTTAGTACATGTTTGCAATTCACACAGTTTAGGATCATCTTGGGGAGTGGTTACGTGTACATATTACACTTCTTTTTTTCTAATCCCTTTCCCCTTCTCTACCCTTCCCCTCTCCTCCTCTGGTTCCCCTGCAATCTTTTACATACTTGTTGGTATTATTTGTCATAGCTCATGTTTAAAGTATACTTTATTTTTTCTAAACGTATACCATTTGTCATACATAAATTTTTTATATATGTGAAATTTATTTTTTATGGAAAGAAAAAACCTTAATATAAAAAAATAAGTTATAAACCTTATTTTTCCAGGTGGTTTTTCCATTTGCACCAAAACAATTTGCTGAAATTATTGTATATACTAATTTCCAACAGGGTTTATTTCTTGACCTTCAATCTTGTCCATTAGTAACATTCTAAAAGTCCTGCTACTCTGTCACTTCACTACAAGATATCTTCAAGATATCTTGGTAATTTGTTTGTTTGTTATGAGTCAAGGTCGCACTATGTAGTTCAGGCTGGCCTGGAATTCGAGGCAATCCTCCTGTCTCAGCCTCTGAGCACTGGGATTACAAGCATTGCATACCACCATCCCCAGCAGTAGTATATTTTTAAAAAGGCCGCCTTCCTAAAAATCCTTATCTTATCTCAAAATTCATTTGGGTTTCTACCAGAAAGTGGAAAAGGGATGCTCTTGGGACACTTATCAGCCATTTATGTCACATCTTAAACTTTTTTCTTATAAGTTTAAAGCAAAGAAGACTTTTGAGGAAAAAGAAATAAGTTGACACAAGCCAAGAGAATTGAGGGGGAAAGGAACATTCTCTGAAAAACCAAAAAGAATTTACTTATGAGTCTTTTGTAACAGTGAGTTGGCTCAGTGGTGTTATATCTAAAAATCTGCCTCTTGTTAGCTGGCTCTCGGCTGTGGTGCACAGGAGTAAACACATGTGTGATCACAGTTCAGTGGGAAATAAATACAGTGGGAAGAAAAGAAGTCCAGAGCCATGTGACACAATACTAACTGCACAGCCTTGCAGCCTAAAATGAAATTCTCACCGCTTCAGACATGCTGCCATGACTGTCAGTTCTAAACTTTTAAAGACTTAGAAGAATAGGTTAAGAAGTTCATGTTTCAGAGTGGGGAGTGGTGGTGCATACCTGTAATCCCAGCACTTGGGAGGCTGAGGCAGGAGGATCACCTTGAGTTTGAGGCCAGCTTGGTCTACATAGTGAGTTCAGGGCCAGTCTGAACTACAAAGGGAGACCCTGCCTCAAAAACCAAAAGCCAAAACCAAAACCAAAAAACAAACAAAAAGAAGTTCATGTTTCAGAAAAGTAGTGTGAAATAGTGAAGACAACATGTATTTAGAATCAGATGAACAGGGTTTTGGTTTTAGTTTTACCTCAAATTATTTAACCATTCTGAGTCCCACCTATCCTGTAAAGAAGGTAAATAATATCTGTCATAGGACTATGTCAGAATACAATGAGAATAGATATAAATAAGCATTATTAACTATAAAGTCTGTGTCAAGCATAAGGTTTTATAGAGATTGACTATACTTCAAACAGAATTTATATTAAAAAATTCACACCTTTTCAAGTGCTCTTTGAAAAAGTTTCAGCATTTCCAATGGTAATAATTTGCAAAAGGATAAAATCAAATCATGTGGAGAAAAAACGAACTCATTTAAAAATCTCTGATCTCAGGAACAGGCAAATGATGTGTGAAGAAGAAAATACAGAAGGAAGCCTAGGATGTGGAGGGAATAGCTAGGAACATGAACTCTGGATATCTTAGCCAACTGAAAATAAATAAAGAACTGGTGTAGACTTGTAAGAGGTAGTATTGATAGCATAATTTAGAATAAAAAGCTTAAAGAACAATACTTACATATCTGTGAGGTCAAAAGCTAGGTATTCCTCGATTATTCCTTCTGAGATTATACAGTCTTCTTTTTCTGTTTCCATAGCACACAAGCCAGGGGATTCGGCAATAGAAGATGCTTTATGAGCATAAGAAGATGAAAACTGTAACCTTTTCCCCCTTATACCATGTCTGAGAGAGAGAAAAAAGCTAATGTTAATTATGTACAATCTAAACTGTTCTCACAGCAGTATCACGTGACCTTTGGGTCAAAACCCCTTGCCCTGCAGCACCCTCCTAGGCTAGTCTAGGCCTTAATAGCCTAGTATTTCTCAGAACAGGAAGACTGAACACTAGCCATAGACCTGTTTGGCTTAGGAGTACTGTGCATTGTCTAAAATTGCTTGCTGTCTTCTCAGACACAAATAGCTACAGCTGTATGCTCTTTAAAAATGAAGAATATTTACATTCATAATCATATTTTTAAGGTAACTTCAGAGGTTATGTCATCATTGTTCAAAATGAATGTTCTTTAAGGGAGAGATCTTAATTAATACTAAAATTTCTATTTACACCCAGACATGCAGTAAATATGTGATGAGTCATTCTGAATTTGAACAAGTTTGCTTTGGAGAACATCAATCACATGTGAGCAATACAATTTTTGTTGTTGTTGTTGGTACCGGGGATCGAACTTGGGACCTTGTGCTTGGGAGGCAGGTGGCAGAACCACTGAGCTAAATCCCTGGCCCAATACAATTTTTAAAAATGGCTCTCAGTTTAACCAACTGTTTAATATAACCAATTTATGCTTTGTATTACTTTTTATTCTTTTTGTGTGCCTTAAATACATTCTTCTCTAGGAAAAGAATAAACCTGTGGCACTTTTCAACAAGTCTGGTGGGAAAATCTTTTAGAAGACATTTTGGAATTATGTATTAGGAGACTTAAACATACCCTTTGATTCAGTGGTTTCATCTGCAAGAATATCCTTTAAGGATACAACTGATAAAGATTTACTTATAAGAATTATCATCATGGGGGAACGAGAGAGCACATGCTCAGCATGCTCAAAGCCCTGGGTTCAACTCTCAGAACCAACAAAACAAAAAACAAACAAAAACCTTACAGAACTACATATTTGTTTACAACTACCAAAAAAAAATCAAAATTACCCTAGTTGTTCCAAAATAGAGGATTCGAGGATGGGTGGTTTAAATATTGGTATATCCATAAACTACGAAATCATTAAGTTAATGTTGAAGAAAATGGAAGATGTCCACAATAAAATGTTATGGATCAAAAGATTACAAAATGTATATAGTAATTTCATAAAAACTATATACATATGTAGCAGAGAATGCTAGATGCTTCTCAATATACATTCTCCCTTTCTCTTCCTGGTAAAATCATTCTGATTTAATTCAGGCAGGTATTACATCCTCAAAGACTTCATTTCCCAGCTACCCTGCAGCCAGATCTAGTCAATGAAATATGAGCATAATTATTATGTGAGACTCTAGAACGGCTGTTTAAGGGGAACTGCTTAGCTCCAAGGGATGCCTTCTGCAGTTCTCCCTTTCCTTCTCTCTGGTACCTGGAAAGTGAGCAACATATTAGGAGCTGTCACCCATGCCGGACTATAATGAAAACCTCAGGGAAAATACTGTGGGCTAGGATGGTGCAGCAGAAAGATGAAAGCAGTCTAGATCCTTGAAAACATCATGCTACCACTGTGCTATCTTTATACTGCCTTCATCCAGACTTCTTTCCACAAAGAGAAATTAACTTCTTAAGTCATTAAATAGAACATAGGGTTCATAGGAAGTAGTTCACAGTGTGGTGAGGCTTTGGGTATTAATTTGGCTACTTTATAGCAATGGAAAGTAAAGTTTCAAAGAAGGGGAGTGTCTTTGTCACTTTTCTGTCACTGGACACAATACCCAACATCTGGAACTTAAAGGAAGAGTAGTTTATTTTGGCTCATGGTTTCAGTCCATGGTGATAAAGTTCTCAGGAGGAAACAGGATAGCAAAGGGGCAGAGCAGAAGGAAAGGTGCTCAGTCCATGGCAGCCAAGAAGCAGAGAAAGAGAGGAACTCGAGAGGGAGAGCTACCTTTCCAGGTCACATCCCCAGTGACCCACGTCTAATTAGGCCCCACTTCCTAACAGCAAGTTAGCTATGAACTCATCAGCGGAGGCTTTGGGTGACATTTTAGATCTAAACCATAAGAGGGGTTGCCAAGGTCTTTACATTAGAAGATGACCATGGTAGTGGTGAAGAGGATAATGGAGTTAAAAGGCTGCTGCAGAAGATGTGGCAGGGCTGGTAAGCCGATAAGAGCCTGGACAATAGCAGGAAGCAAAGAGATGAAGAGAGGGTAAGAGTTAAGAGTAACAGTCTGGCCCACAAACACATCTAAACCAGCTTGTATTAGTATTTATAAGTCTTTAAATTTGAGACTTAAGGTTGTTTAAATCTCTGTTTTGAAATTCAAAAACAGTGGTTTCCAAATCCCCGGCTCTAAAAATAGGCATTTCTACTAAGTCTAGGTCTAATTGCTACTAAAAGAAATTCTGGCTAGAGAAAAATGTTTTCATTTCATCTAAAGCTGCAACAAAAAGCAAGATAGAATTCTGTGTTGGGTGGGAGATTTAGCTCAGTGGCACCACGGCTGCCTTGCAAGCGCAAGGTCCTGAGTTCGATCCCAGTACTGGAGAAAAAAAAAAAAAAGGTAGACTTCTGTGTCATAAACTTGTCTTGCAAATGTTACTTCTAACAAAAGAATCTTTCAAGTCATCAGACTAGAGGTTATCAAGTCTGGAAAATAACTTTTAACTTCTAAAAATCTGTAATTCTTGCTTTTAAAAAAATAACAGTGGTCTTACCCAATAATATGTTGTCCTGGTAGTAATGTTCACATTGAGATTATTTACTTGTGAGGAAAAAAACTCACTGGCACTTTATTCTCCTTCATGTGTGGAGGATAAAATGATTTTGCTAGTTTTTTGTTTTTGTTTTCTGACAAGGTCTTTCTTTTTTTGGACTGGGGATCCAACTCGGGTCCTTGCACTTGCACAGCAGGCGGCGAAACCACTGAGCTAAATCCCTGGCCCTGACAGGGTCTTGCTATGTAGTTTAGGCTGGTCCTGAACTCACAAAGTAGCCCAGGCTGGCCTTGAACTTGGGGAGATCCTCCTGCTTCCGTCTCCAGAATGCCAGGATTATTGGCATGTACTACCACATCCAGCTTTTGGTAGGTTTCTTATTTATACAGTTTAATGTGGAACCAGTCCCTGCAAGGCTTTAGGAGGGCGAGTTCTTCAGCCTTCCAGAGTGGTTGGGAGGAACAAGTAGCCAAAAGCCCTCCTTCCTGCCTAACATCTGAAAAGCACAGATGGCCACTCGGCTCCATTTTGGACCCACCTTATCTCCCAGCGGACTCTGGAGATGACCGCAGTAAGGAGAATTACATGAAGGTGTGATTGCATGATGCCAAAAGAAAGAAAACATAACCCTGGAAAGGAAATATGATTGTGCATGGCTCTACAAAGAAGAACTGAAATAGAGGGTTGGGGATTTAGCTCAGTGGTTTCGCCGCCTGGTGCGCAAGCACAAGGACCCGAGTTCGATCCCCCATACCAAAAAAAAAAAAAAAGAACTGAAACAGATTATTTCCCTGGCTTTGGAGAGTTTCAGAAAGCTCTTCATCTAAAAAGAAATTGATTTGTAATTAGCTTCATCAGCTCTTGCATTTAGGACAACTGTAAAATAGAAAATCAAAGCAAATGAAAGGGAAATCTATAATTTGTAATGAGTAACATGAGGGAGCAGGACTTAGGACAAACAGCTGCTATATTATATCACTTTAATAACTTGTTTTGAGGTTTAAAAAAACCCCACAACATTAGATTTATCATCTTTATCATTTAAGTGTATGGTTCATTAGTGTTAAGTAGATTCACATTGTTATGCAGCAGATCTCTATAGCTCATCTTGTGAACTGAAACTCTAATTACCTTCTCTTCTCTCCCCAGCCCTTGACAACCACCTTCTACTTTGTATTGCTCTGATTTCTGACTGCTTCAGATACTTCATGTGAGTGCAATCACAGTATTTTTCATTTTGTGACTGCATATTTCACTCAGAATAATGTCTTTGAGGTTCATCCATGTTGTAGCGTGTGGCAGAATTTCCTTTCATAAGGTGCATAATATTCATATATTTATATGTGTAAAAATCCACTCATCTTTCAGTACACATTTAGAGTGCCTCTACCTCCTTGCTCTGAATAATGTTGCAGTGAACACAAGTGTGCAAGAGTCTATTTAAGATCCCATTGGGTTTTTTTTTTTCTTTTTTTGGTACCGCGGATCGAACTCAGGACCTTACACTTGCGAGGCAGGCACTGGAGTCACTGAGCTAAATCCTCGGCATGCAAGAGTCTATTTAAGATGTGGCTTTCAATTCTTTTGGATATATATACCCAGAGGAGGGATTCCTGGGTCATACGGCAATTACTGTTGTAATCTTTTTAGGAGTCTCCACATTGTTTTCCATAATGGCTGTACCATTTTATATGCCTACTAAGGATAACCCAAGGGTTGCACTTTTTCTGCATCCTTGTCAGTATTTATTTGCTGTTCCTTTGGTAGTGCCTGTCCTGTCTGATGGATATGTGGTGTGACCTCACATGGTTTTGATTTTTTTTTTTTTTGGTGGTGGTGGGGATCGAACTCAGGACCTTGTGCTTGCAAGGCAGGTGGTGGCACCACTGAGCTCAATCCCCAGCCCTGATTTCTTTCATGATTACAATAATGAGTGTCTTTACATGAGTGTCATGGCCATTTGCATATCTTTGGTTAATTCTCCTTTCAAGTACTTTGTCAACTTTTCAATGTGGTTACTTCTTTTTGTTTTTGTTGTTGTTGTTGTTGTTTCTTCTTACCGGAACTCAGGCCTTTGCGCTTGCAAGGCAGGTGCTGGAACCACTGAGCTAAATCCCTGGCCCTGTTGTTGTTGAGCTGTAGAAATTACTTATGTAACCCCTTATCAAACATACATTTTGCAAATAATTTCTCCTATTTCATATGTTGCCTTTTCATATTTATTATTTCTTTGATACACAGAAGTGCTTCTTTGATATAATCCCATTTGTCTGTTTTTGCTTTTGTTGTTTGTGCTTCTAGTGTTATATCCAAGATGTTATTGTCAAATTCAATATCCTAAAGCTTTTCTCTCTTTTTTTTTTTTTCCTTGGTACTGGCGATCAAACTCAGGACCTTGCAGTTGTGAGGCAGGCAGTGGCACCACTGAGCTACATCCCCAGCCCTTTTCTGTTATGTTTTATTATAGAAGTTTTATAATTGTGGGTATTATGTTTAGGTTTTTAATTTATTTTGAGTTAATAATTTTATATGGTAGAAGATAAATGTCCAACTTCATTCTTTTGAGTGTGTATGTCTAGTTTTCCCCATCATTTGTAGAAGAGATTGCCCTTTCTCCATTATGTAGTCTCAGCACTTTTGTCAAAAATCATTTAACCATATATGCAAGGGTTTATTTCTGGAATCTGTTCTTTTAATAATTTTTAAAGGGTTGTAATTACACATATAATGACACACTTTAGTGGGTTTTTGTTGACTCTTATAGTTAGTTTTTTGTTGAAATACTTATTTAAACTAAGTATAGATAAGCTTCTTAAACTAACTTGAAGGAGCAGAGATAGTTTCTTTTTTTTAAGTGGAAATGTCCTCAAATTCATTTTTCAGAGTCCCTTTTAAGCTTATGTTTCACTTTATGCTGCCATCATCTTCTAATGTTTTAACTTCCTGGAATTTCATTTTGACCTTAACACTATTTGTTTTAATTGCTAACTGTTTTGCAACCATAATTTCAATTTTTATGTTAGTTAATTTTGTATATTTTGTTATCATGTGAATATGGTCTGTCTTTATTTAGTAAAAAAAGAAAAAGAAAAAGAAAAGAAAGTTAATACTACTAGTTTGAGATACTGTGGTTAAGTTTTAGAGATACAAAAAAGTAAGATACTATATTGTTGTGTTGCATATTGTACCACTTCCCTCTGTCCTGGGAGCTTCTCAATAATAGAAACTGAACCAGATACCTAGTAGAATACATTTAGACATGAAAGAAAATCAGTGTTGGGAAAATTACTCAATGAAAGAAAGAAAGTCACAGAAGATAAAGGTAGAGAAGTAGACAAGGGCTAGCTTATGATATAATTTTAGATTTTATCTTAAAGTCAATGGGGAGCTTTTGAAAGTTTTAAGTGAGAAACAGAAGAATTCAATCCTGAATTTCTAAAAATTCTGATATGATATGAAAAAAAGGAATATAATTTGAAATGTTATTTTTGTAGAAAGTCTTAGTGGTTGATAAACCTCATATTTATGGCAGCCTGATTTGTACCTCCAACTTATACCCTCACTACCCAAATTTTGTTCTTTAATACTGTTTGCCTCTCAAAGAAATCAGGACTCCTATTTTAGTATATGTGCTGCTGAAGCGAGCAAGAAATCAGGACTCCTTAAAGTTCAGCTGATTCCATGTCTTAAAGGAGAAAACAAACAAACAAAAAAACAAAATAAGGATGGGCCCGAAATATCTTACTGTAATCAGAAACCAAAGAGATAATCAAAACAAAGACAAAGGTACTAGCTTGAAGTGGCCAAGTGGTAGCAATTAGAGCATTAAAAACAATTATGGTTAAATATTTAAGTATTTGAGATGTTATGAGTTCATAATGGTACTCAAGAGAGTAAATATCAAGTATAGACAAAACAGTTATTACATGAAAGGAGTGAATATAGATGTTTAATATTTATTGCTTATATAAGTAGGAGTATGCTAACAGAGGTGGATAATTTTTTGTCTAAGTACATGTCTATGTATATAGGTATTTATTTTTTCTATGTAAGTAGCTATTGAGAATTGAAGTCAAATCTGTAGAAAAAGTAGATCCCAAAATAAAAAGACTCATCAGCAGTGGTGGTAGGAAGATGAAAGGGTGTCAGTAGCATGTTACAGAATGAAGTTAGCCAGATATCCTAAGGAGGAAGAGTTCAGACTTGAATTTTTATTTCTTCGGAGGTAAAATCTCTAAATGGACCTACTTCTCATTGTTATAAAATAAGGCTCACAATGAAGTTTATACAAACAGATGAGAAAACAATATTCTAAAGACAGGATATGAGTTACATAATTTTGTTCAGAGGAAATGAAAGAATAAATCATTTCTATGGGTGACATTGTAAAAAGTTTAAATTTATGTAAAAGAATAAATTTTAAAAGCCTTATTGATGTCATACATGATGTTTAAATTGAAGAAGAAAGCTACAAACTTGAGTTTAAATCAGTTTGAGAAAAATAAATCCAATTCTCTGGACAAAAATCAGTTGACAATGCAGATCCCCCAACCCTGATTGGCATAAAACAGTATGTTTTACTTTTGTAGTCTGGTGAGATTTTTTTTTTTTGGTAGCAGGGATCAAACTCAGGACCTTGTGTTTGTGAGGCAGGAAGCGGCACCATTGGGCTAAATCCCTGGCCCCTGGTGAGATTATTGAAAGCTCAAAAGAGACACAAATTAAGTTCTGTTACTACAACTCTTGGGAGGTATCAAGTAAAACTACAGCCTTTGCAAAAAATATAGGAATAATTTTAAAAACGAATTAAAATATAATATTATGTTTTACAATAGATTTAAGTATAAGCATAGGTTTAGAAATAATACTTGGATATTGCACTGTTTAAAGTGCTCAAGGCATTCAAAAGATTTAGCCATTTAAAAATTATTTTGATTGCAAGCATAAGGGCCTGAGTTCGATCCCTGGTACCAAAAAAAAAAAATTATTTTGAGCTGAGCATGGTGGCAAATGCCTGTAATCCCAGTACTTGGGAGGCTGAGGCAGGGGGATTACTGTGAGTTCGAGGCCAGCCTAGGCTATGTAGTGAATTCAAGACCAGCCTGAACTACATAGTGAGATCCTGTCTCAAAAAGACAAAAAACAAAAAACAAAAGTATTTGGAAGTTTAATTCTCTTAAGAGATTAAGTTGTAATTAGCATCACATATTTTTTAAAACATCATGTTTAACATTAAGAAAATTAAGTCTGTTTCTTAAACTCTTAAAAATTTAAAAACTGTTCTGTCTACAGACTTATGCCAAGAGAGACGTGCCTATATTTATAAGTATAGGTAGATGTAGGGATAGATAGATAGGAAGCGATAGTTCTAAATAACAAAACTATCCTCAATTTCCAGGAAATATATTAACTTTTGAACAACAAATTATATAACAAAAATCTTAATATACACAAAGGCTACTACCAATCCAATAGCATTTTCTGTGCTTTACCAGTAAGTAGAAAGAAGTGTCTTAATCCCTTAATTCAGTTGGCAGAATGCAATACGTAAATACTAGGATACTAAAACACATAATGGAATACTTACATAATAAAATCTCTTTCTTGAGACAAGACTGCTTCATGTGAAACTGAAACAGCAGAAGGGGATCTAGGATATAATTCATAACCTTCACTTGGAGTAATTATCTGCCTACCCAGAATCCTTCAAAATGAAAAAAACAGACAATTAACCACTTTCACTTGGCATACATACAAAATCTAGGCATTTTTGGAACAAGTCTGATGGTTCTACATAGAAGTCCAATAGACACTAAGTTTGATACTGATTAAGAATTATTCTTGGGCCGGGGATTTAGCTCAGTGGTTTCACCACCTGCTGCGCAAGCGCAAGGACCCAAGGTTCAATCCCCAGTACCAAAAAAAAAAAGAATTATTCTTGAAAGAAAATGGCCTATATCTTCAAGAGAATAGAGATGGAAAAGAAAAGCTATAACCTGGAAGTTTAAAAAAATCCAAGGAAAATTGAAGCTAATAAAGAGAAAAGAAAAAGAAATCCAAGGAAACCAAGCAAACATTTGTAATTTGCCCTTCATCCTAATAATCAGCATTAAATCAGCCATAATAGGATAAAAGCCCAACCAAATTGGTGACAACTATGAATTACACTCTTAAAACATGAAGCTTTATGAATTTTAATTATGTGCAGTGAGCGTACTATCGTGGCTTCTGAGAGAAGCTCCTAATAGCCGTCTGCTTTCAAGTACACCTAAGAATTTAGTTGTAGACAACAATGTCAACAAATATATATTCTGACCATCTTGTTCAAAAGAAGGGCTCATGCCAGGGATGGTGGCTTGCACCTGTAATGCCAGAACTTGGGAGGCTGAGGCAGGAGGATTGCTGCGAGTTTGAGGCCAGCCTGAGCTTCATAGTGAGTTCAAGGCCAGTCTGAACTGCATAGCAAGACCTTGTTTTAAAAAACAAAAAACAACACCAAAAAGGAAGGGTTCTTTGGATAGCCCTGATACCCAGACCTGTTACTGGTAAAGAAATAGTTTTACTCAATTAGGGTGACATATTTGGTGGTTATGGATAAATACTTCAAGAAACTTCCATCACCTGAAATCTTCTCTTAGCTGAAGCTTATACCATATGGCTTTACTTATGTTTATTAAAATCATACCCATAGCTGGGGATTTAGCTCAGTGGTTCCGCTCCTTACCCTGCAAGCACAAGGACCCGAGTTCAATCCCTGGTACCAAAAAAAAAAAATCATACCCATAAAGATTTCAAAATATAAGCTTTTTTTTGAAATCTGCTTTTTAAATGTTCACTTTCACCATGAGCACAAGTCAACAGTGGGGCTTTGTACCTGAGGTGGGGAAAGCTGGATGTCCACTGTTGGCACTCGTCATGGAGACTTCTCGTGTGCACACTCAACTTCTGCTCATACAGGAGCTCGTCAATGGCTGTGAACATCACCTGAACTTTTTCAGTGGCATTTTGATCAAGTTCCTAGAGGAAAATATCCCCCCAAAATATTTAGGTGAGCTTCAACCTCTGTTAACAAAGTTTAAAAGTAATCAGGTTTAAATGTTTAGTCCGTTTGAGACAATATTATCTTTACACGAAAGAAAAGTTAAATTAAGGAAGTTTTCAGATCTCATGGAATTTTCAGATGATCTTTCTATTCCTATTTAAAGAAATAATCTATTTTTAATAAAGTAACATTTTCTTCATCATAAACTATGTTTATTGTAAGAATTTTGAAAAATATAAAGTATAAAAATTAAAATTACCTATAGTTTCGGCATGCAAAGTTAATGTTATTTATTTATTTATAAAAGACAAGGGCTTGCTCTGTTGCCCAGGCTGGCCCCAAACTTCTGGGCTCCCACAATCTTCCTGCCTTACCTTCCTGAGTGTAGGCGCATGCCACGGTGCTGGGTCTAATGATTGCTAATTTCAGTACAGTTGCTAAGTTCTGATACTTTTTTTTTCTGAGTAGAAGTCAGACAATTCTGTATATATTACTTTGCATTCTGCACCTTTCATTTGACAATTTATATTAAAACCTTGCCTTGTGTAATCTATCCTTTAAGAACAGTCAGAGGGATAGCTATAAAATGTGAATCTGAGTGGAGTGTGCTGGTACACATCTGTAATCCCAGCACTCTTGGGAGGCTGAGGCAGGAGGATCACAAGTTCAAGCCCAGCAGGGACAACTTAACTAGTCAAGACCTGTCTCAAAAAGAGGGGTGGGGGAGTGGCTAGAGATGTAGTTCAGTGCAATTGTCCTGGGTTCAATCCACAAAAAGAATCAGATCAGATCAGCAAATCTGATCATATTATCATGTTTTCTGATTCCCTACTGTTTTTGTTTTTTTGGTTTTTGGTACTGGGGATCAAGCTTGGGACCTTGCGCTTTCGAGGCAGGTGGCAGAACCACTGGGCTAAATCCCCCGCCCTTCTGACTCCCTACTAACCCTCTACTGCATCTACATTTATATACTCTTCTACATTCCACTGAAAGAAAAGTTACAAGTTCTTTTTAAAGTATGACAACTATGTATTTTTCACTGTAAGAATGAAAGCCTGTACCAAGTAGAAATTTATCTATCTGGGAACGTTTTCCAAAAAATATTCTGCACTTAATATCTTTTGAATATGTCATGTAGATATAATATAATATTCCTTGGAATATTACTTTTCTAATTCTTTCTAAAACTTCTGTTCATATTTACATTGCTGTATCCTGATCCATCTTCCATGTCTCCTAACTACTCTTCGAATTCTCAGTTCTAGGTTCCCTGGTTCAAGGTGATTTTCTTTTTTCTTTTTTTCCCCTGGTACCAGGGATCAAACTCAGGACCTTGAGCTTTCAAGGCAGGCGCCGCACCTCTGAGCTAAATCCCTGGCCTGATTTTCTTTGTTTGGTTGGTTTTTTTTGGTACCGAGGATCAAACTCAGGACCCTGTGCCTGCAAGGCAGGCAGCGGAACCACTGAGCCAAACCCCTGGCCCCTAATTTTCTCATTTCTATGATTAAATTCACTATTTTTTTTTATGGTACCAGGGATCAAACTCAGGACCTTGCGTTTGTGAGGCAGGAGGCAGAACCACTGAACTAAATCCCTGGCCCAACTATTTTTTTTTTTTACTGGGTCCACTTTAACTATCTGTTGAGATATTTCAAATGCTATTTATTCCCAAGATTTTTAATTGGCTCTTCATATCTATCTGCCTGTTCTTAAATTAAAATCTCTACCTACTTTGTCTTAAAATCTCCAATAACTTTAAAAGGTGTTATTTTGTCCTTTAATTCTGAAGATTTGAAAATGTGAATCAGCTGTGCTGAGGAATTTACATGCAAGAAATTGCAGACATGTTAAGTGA